TAAATAATTATAACCATAATTTGTAAAGAGACACATATTTACTGCACATAGGTTTAACAACAGTTAAAAATTAGTATATACCAATGGTTTAGCAATTATTGTTATTACATCTATGGTTGAAAGTGGTAAAATTGATAATTATTTTGACTCATTATTATAAATTACTAATATGATTACTATTATAAGTATAATCATCTTTGTATATTTTTTGTTGCAAATTTTGCTCTATCACAATTAATTTTGTTTTGTCACAACAAATCTAACATGTTACACTATTTATCATTCTCTTCAGCACGACGTTGACGACATCAAATGTTTTGATGTCCATACGAAAATGAAAGTTTTGTCCTCCATTCCGACTTGTCTTCCATCTCTAACTTGTCTGGATCATCTTCTTTTTGGAAACTTACCTTTTAATATCGTTCTCCTTTGAGGCAATGTTAAACACGTTTAAGAAATTTGAGATGGAGGGATGTTTGGAAAAAGAGAAAGAGAGAAAGAGTTGGAGGAGGAGAGTCCAATCGTGCATGAGGGATGGAGAAGAGGTGAATTGACAATGGAGGATAAGAGTCGAATCGCGATGGAGAGATGGAGAAAAAACAAAATGACAAAGGAAGAGAAAAGGATAAGAAAGGAGAGAAGAAGAAACACAAAGGTTGGAGGTGTGAGGAGAAATGAATAGAATGGAAAAAGTAAAAAATATAACAAGGAATAGTGATAATAATAATTTGCAAAGAGATATAAATATTTAAAACAAAGTTAAACATACGATGACAATTCTTTTATAATCATCATTATATGTCACATACCAAGATTATTAGTTTATAATCATCATCGTATGTAACATACAACAATGATTATAAAAGAACAATCATATGTCACATAAATTAATTGTTGTTAAAAAGTAAAAAATTGTTACAAAAATATCATTATATCTTTTTCAATGACTGTTCATATACAATTGTCGTTAAAATGTATCATCTTTTGTCTATTTTATATTAGGGGAAAAAACCGTTTCCATGTGAAGTAAAATCTCACAGGTACAAACCAGCTAATGAAGCTTCACTAATGATATAAACCTCATTTGCACAAGGGTTGACTTAGGATATTTAGGGTTAGAACTTGTAGGAAATTTAGGAAATTAGTGAGAATGTGGATTAGAAAGTGGTGAAAGTTTCAGGGTTGGATAGTATTTTTGAAACGTTAATATCACAAACTATAAAACTCCGATTGAGATGATTCAAAAGCGAGGTGAAATTTCTCATTCTGAATTTCAAATTAGGCTAAAAAGTACTCAATTTGGACAAGTAAGACGAAAGTTATGACCACGAAACAAATCTGGATAAATTTGAGATTTTTGTGTTGTAGTGAAGAAATGACAAGATATGAATGTGAAAAGTCGAAGAAAAGAATTACTCTTCCCAAGGAAGACAACTCACAAAGAATGTGAAAGTCCTTTGATATAGTCAATGATTCTTGAATCATTCAAGAACTTAGGAGAATCACTTTCACTAAGATAAAAGAGCTAAACTCTAATATTTCTGAATAAAACTCAACTTGTCTTTTTTATGAAAATGGTTCAACTTATATAGAAAATTTTTCTATCAAAGTTACAAAGACTCAATAAAGGAAAATAAATGCTAATAATGATCCATTAATCTAGGAATTGAAAACTACTTAATAGAGGCAAATAAATGCTAATAATGATCCATTAACCTAAGAATTGAAAACTACTTAATGATTGATTGTAACTAAAATTGTGACAATCAAAAGTCAATCAGCTATGCACCATTTTGGTCTTCCAAAGGTTGATGCCTAAGTTTTCAATTAGACCCTTATTACAACTTGAAACAAAACTAAACTAAAGCTCATTAATTGATTAACCCAAAATATAATTTAGTTAGCCAATTTTATAAAGAATTGAACCATTATTTAAATAAACTTAAAGACTGAAACAAAGTGATGTATTAGTATTTCTCCATTTTGGCCATGATGCAATTCACAACTTTGGTCTTTTCACCTTGAAATGTGGGCTTGTATTCAAATAATATGGACAACACTTGTTGAAAAACTTCCTTTATTTTCCTTGCTCTAGGCTTTGTTATAGGTCATCCAAGTCCTTCAAGTAGATCCTTACTCTTGTTCATGGTCATGTCCTCATCAACTAAGCTCAAATATAGGGGACAAAAAGTTTATTAAAAGCATAAACAGGTGCTCACAACCAACCAATACATCAAAACAATAAAATTTTTAAATTGAAGAACAAGAAAAGAAAAGAAGAAAACCTCAGTAATTGAGTAACTATGCACAATTGATTTATATAAGTAAATGACATCAATTCATGATCCCAATGGTCGAAATGTATAATACTGTGTTAAGAAGCCTCTTTACAATATTCAATCCGATCCAACATAAAACAAAACGAAGATTACAATTTTCAAGAAACTAACTTACAAAAATGTGAAACAATTTTTTATATCTTTCTCTCTCCCAAAATATGTGAAAATAACATTTTCTTATGACCTAGAAGATCTTTGTCCACTTAGGTTAAATAGACAAATTAGATTGAATAGTTTGAGTTTTTTTAAAACACAGCCCCGTAACAATTATGTAGATGTGACCATCAATCTAATGATCTTACAACAACATTTAAACTTTCACCTCAAAAGTGTTATAGTCATCGTATCAACATCATTATCATTAGTATGAACTTTTTTTAATTTCAACAATTTAGCATCAAAATATCACATATCCAATAATACCTCACATCAATAAATTTTGATTTAGAATAAAAAGTTAAATTTTTACTAAGATAGATAATACTCTACCTATTCACAAATAATAGATAGTTTATCTTATACAAAACCAAACTCTTACAATTTCTTTTTTTCAACCATAATAACTCATTACGTAATTTAGTATTTACAATGAAGTATGTGTGTACAATAAAGCTACACACCTAGCAACTTGATTGTAAAATCACAATTCTCCTTCAAACTTATTTAAATAACTCAAAGTAAATTTTCTGAAATTAATATCTCCAGTTATATATCATTGCCTTCAAAAATTCCAAACAAATATTATTAATTGTTAGCATATAATAATCGAAGTATAAATAATCTAATAATAAAGGTGTATATAATTTTTAAAATATTATTAAAATATCTTTTCTTAGATTAAATTCTTGAAAATTGAAGTTGCATAAGACGATTACTACGGTGTGCATATAATAATAATAATAGTGATGTATATAGATTTAGTTTGTTCAAATATATTATTAAAATAAATTTTTTCTTATATTGAATTGAATTTTTTACATTTTTTTATTATTTTGAATCTAATCCAATTGATCTTTTATAAAAAAAACTGTCTTGAATAAGTCATACATTTTTAAAATTATATATTTTTTAAAATTTGTATTTTTAGAATTTTTTTTAAACATTTTTAGAATAATTATTTTTAAAATAAACTATAAATTGTTTAATATTTATATAGTTAAATATTTTAACAATACTTAATTAAATAATTTACTATATTAAATAGTAATTATGAATTATTATCAGTCAATATTTTTTTTTCGAATATGATTGGATTGAATATTAATTCAATATATATTACGACATGTACCGAAGATTAAGTCACGTGAGATATGATTGAATTTGACCAATAATACTAAAATTATATTTAAAAATTAAAATTTGCATCCAAATATTATTTTGTTGAAACTTTATCTTTTTTTTTTTTTCAATTGTATAATACCGACAGTGTCTATCCGCTACTCATTCCACTAAAAAAATCACTCCGTTTATTTACCTTTTATTTGTTGATACCGTCTAAAATGTTCGTAAATATTCGCGAGTATTTATAGATACTTGTTAATATTTTTTATTTTAAATATTATTATTTTAAAAAATTTATAAGTATATTTAAATAAAATTAGTTTATAAAATATTAATATAAAAAAAATAAGTTTTTATAAAATATTAATTCTATTAAATTATAGCATAAAAATAAATTTTAGTAATAATATTTTTTTAAAAATAAATTTAATTTTATATTTTATATATAAATTCTATTTGTAAATAATTCTTGTATCATTATCATTTTTCTTATCAATAATTTTATTTTAAAATATATTAAATAAAATATTTTAATGATAGCGTAATGTCTTATATAGTCACGGATCTTCACCATTAATTTTGGAGAACTAAATAATATATTATTAATAAATAATAAATAAATATAAAAAAAATAAGAATATGAAAGGATAAAAAAATAAAATTATAAATATATATTTAAATATATTAAATGATTATTAAATTTAATATTAATAAAATTATAAATTATATAAAATTAAAAATAGACTGAGAGAATAAAATTATAAATATAATATATTAAAAAACCAAAATCATAAATTAGTTAGGGTTACAAAACTTTTGAATACACCTCAATTTCCAATAAAATTCAACACTTTTCCATATGTTGAATATTATTTTAATGGTAGCGAAGTCTCCTTAACAAGTCATAATTAAAATAACTCTTCCCATTGCATCTAGATACATTTAATATATATTATTCAGCATCTATCACAGATTTTATTGTGAGGTACAATTTTTTTTCCGCCCCTAATTACACAAAATCCAATATATACTATGAACTATTTAATAAGTGAACCTGAAAAAGTAATACAAGTAATCTTTCTAGGCTTCTGGTGTGTCCAAAATACTAATAGTAAAATTCTAGTATCATTTTCTAATTTTTTTTTTTTTAGCTTTTGTATAAATGTTAAACTGCTTCTTATACAGTAGTTTATATACTATCTTTTGCTTTTATATAACCAGGTACGACATTTTTGCTGTGCAAATTGACTTCAACAATTTTTAAACGTACAAACTTAAATATGCAACAACATAATAATAAAAAATCAAATAAATACATAATATAATTTTGGTTTGAAGTAAAAGAAAATTAAATGAAATACAAGTAAATTGTCCAAGCACCTACATATTTAAATATTCTTCCAAATACTTTTTCATTGTTTCGCGTTCAGTACGGTCGTTGGGTGCTTTGCCAACGGTGGCAAACCATTTTTCCTCGAATTGTCTCTTTAAGAATTCAAATCCGTAAGTAATACACACATATTCCAATTGGGGCAGATGGATTAAATTTATTTGAACCATTGGAATGCTCAATTGAATTCTTGTTTTTTGTATTTCTTGCCTCATCAGAGTAAAAATGCTTGTCACTGAACTGCAATTTCTAACCTCTAACATCTTCAAATTATCAAGATTTTCGGAAAGACAAACGGGAAAAACATTCGTCAATTTCTCACAATCTGTGATATTTACGTTTTTCAGTTTACAAAATGAATTTCCTACATCATACCACCAGTCAGCCCATATTGTTCTCAATTTACTAACCTTGGAAATCACCATTGTCTCCAGGTTAGGGCAAGAAACCTGCATAAATATTTTACCACATAGTTACTGCTCTAATCTAAAGGTTTAAGTTTTTGTTTGGTTCTTATACTTTACATCATTGCTATCTTTTGGCTCTTATATTTATATAATGACTACATGTTTTAGTTTCTATATAATAACTTTTAGTTACTACAGTTCATCAAATTTTATATTATGATGACAATATTTTCTATAAATTAATGTACAAAACCTGTATTGTATGCGTTGTGCAAAAAGATGTAGGGTTGTTGAGAGAATGCATGCAGTAATTGTGCTACAAATTAGATATGTTCAATGCTTTGATGTCTTGTCAATGCTGGAAATATTTTAATACCTTTTCATGAAAAAGTGGGGATGTATCAGTGGAAGAAGATCCTTCACTTAAGCAGAAACTCATTAATGCTGGGAGTCCTTGTAAGGTTAGAGAGCATAATTCAGGAAATTCCATGCAAGGATTCTTTTCACCTTCTATGAGCACAATTACCTTGATGGATTTGCACTGTGAAACTTCCAAATCAGCAAGATGAGGAAGGCCATCGATCATTGATTTTGAAAAGAGACATCCCATGTTATTACATTTTTCTACTTTGATAACTTTTAGTTTGAAGAAATACTTTTCAGTTAAAGCACCACCATGGCATATGTGCTCCAAATTGGATAGCATGTTGAGAGAAAGAGACTCCAAGTTGGGGAAAGCATCAAGAGGATCATTACCTGATCCTGTTGCTAAGCATTTGACTTCAGCATTGTTTTGAATAAAGAGAGACTGCAGATGTGGAAATCCTTCACACTCCATATCATTAAGAACATTCTGGACACCATTCAGCGTATCCAGGTGCAAAACCTCAACATTTTTCAGCATCTTTTTTATTCCATCCTCTGACTGAAACGTTCTGTTGAGCTTCAGTTTCAATGTCTTCAATTCATGATCACCATCATTTGCTTGGTCCCACCTATCCCCAATGAAAATTGTATATGATCTTAAATTTTCAAAGCACAGGTCCTCAGGCCATGCATGAGGATCAGGAACATACAAGTCTTCTATATATGCTAAGTGTTTTAAGTTTGTAAGCTCTTTCAAGCTTGCATTCTTGTTTTCATTGGTAGACATTTCAATCTCCCAATTACAGAAGGATTTTGTCAAATATAATTCTTCCAGGCTTGTCAAGTTGGACAGGACATTGGGTGGAATCACATTGAGATGTGTTTTCCTTAAATCCAAGAAAAGCAACTTCTGAAGCTGTCCAATTTGCGCAGGCAATTGTTGGATATTACTTTCAAGGAGGCCAAGCATTCGTAGGTTTGTGAGCTCGCCAACTTTAGTAATATCTCTCAAATTGCATCTATACATGGATAATGCTTCAAGGTCCTTTAAAAAAACAAAACTAACTGGCAGCTTTGGACAATTAAAAGAAACAAAATCGAGCACTTTCAGAAGTTTAGTCTCCTCAAAAAAGGAATCTGGAACATCTATTGAGGAATTGTCCCTTCTTATCGAAAGATATTGCAAGTTTGGACATTGCAACCTATCTGGAACCATCAAACCAGTCACAAGATGTATGTTGCAGAAGCTAAAATCTTGTAGCAATTCTTCAGGTGGCCATTCTCTGGAGATCATTGAAGCTTTTAGATAATGTTGGGCTATTGAATAAGCAGTGTGCCATATATAGTCATCTATTTTGATCCATTCCTTTTCTCTTTCAACCAGAAGACCATAGGCCTTCAGATCACTAATCAGAGAATCACGCTTATTTCTTGCAGCTTCCGCTGTTTCGAGATTTTTGAATAAACCTGCCCACATGTCTATGTAGATGTTATACCTGTTAATAAACCTTCTTCCCCGAATAATAACAAGTAACAAAAATAATTTGAGTTCCACATTTTCTAAACAATGGGACAATAGGTTTGTTGGTGAAACATTTTCCTTCAACTGAATCAAGGCATCTAGGCCCTTATTTTCCAATGCCTTTGCTACTGCATAGATTAAAGAAATGGAACCTTTACAACTTCTGACTATTTCTATTACAATGGATTTTGCCTCGGGATCTTGAGCAACACCTCCAACCATCTTCTCAAACAATATCTGAGCCTCTTCTTCTTGTAATACTTCTAATTGAAACACTATAGGCTTAGGGTCAACCTTCAAATTTTGTATGAAATTCAAATTTGCTGATGTCAGCAATAATTTGCACCCTTCATGTTCATTACCCAAAGGAACTCCAAATTCCTCCAAGTCAAATTCTTGTGGGTTCAATTCCCCCCACGTATCAACAACTATGATGAGAGTGTTTTGCTCCTTCTTTATTCTCTGACGTAATTTGTTTCTTCTTTTCACAAGGTTTTCCTCATTGAAATGCACTCCCAATTCATCTGCAATAACCTTTTGAACTTGCTCCACATTTGGCTTCTCAGTTACAGTTAAGACAACCACTGCAGTAAACAAGTTTTGTTCTTTTGCTTTCCCTTCAATATGCTGGGCTATTGAGGTTGTGCCTATACCACCCAACCCCCATACTCCAACTGCTTGGATAAGAGGGTTCTTTAGGGCCTCCATAACATCTTGTATTGTATCATCTCTTGATTTTGGTCCTTCGTAATCTTTTGCTGGTTTCGCAGATAGATGAGAATCTCCTTTTTCAAGTAATTGTGAAATAACTGGTTGAAATTTTCTTGATTGTTTACCAACCTTGTACCGACACAAAAAATTTGTGCAAGTACCTTTGCCTTCGTAGTAGGCCAAGAATTCATTCCATTGTCCTAGAACTTCATCAACTTTATTTGACCACCCACTTTTAGTTTTGAATTCATCAGATTCCCAAGTAAGATTTTCTAGCACCTTTTGCCTTTGGTTTTGCAGTTTCTTAACATCATTTTTGAGATCCTCCAAAATGCCTTTGTTGAAAATTAGGTTGCTCAGTTGACGTGAAACCACAGCTACTTTCATATTTTGAAACTGAGCCAAATTTTGTTGTGTTGGCTGCTGCAAAGAAGTTGATATATGTTTAACCTAGGCTAGGATTATCGATAGAGACTATAATTTAAATGAAGACAAAATTTGAAGCAAATGGCTCATCCTCCTTTAAATAATGGCTCACAGAAAAGATGTGATCTTAAGAACACTTGCTCTTCTACTGTACTACTCGCTGTCATGGACAGAACAAACTGAATTGTTTTTAAAGTTCTAATGTGATTCTTAAGAATAAGATTATTTAATTTATCCATATAAGTCAAATAAGGTAACAAGCATTTTTATAATATCTGATTTTCTTTGTTCGTTATGAATGAAGGAATTAAGGGAAACCAGCTAAGCTTTGTTGCTAGTTGCTACTAAAATCAGTAGCTACTGATGGGTTTTGCATGGGGATAAATATTCACGAATGATACATACAACAATCATGAGACATCCTTTTCAACTTAAAATTTCAGGTCTTTGGGTTTGTGAATCTCTCACTTATTTATTATTGAATTTTCTCATTTATACTGAATGTGAGATTACAACTCCCTCTTGAACTCTGTTTCTCATTCAAGTGTTATTTCTTTTTATATTGACATACCGGAAGCATATCTTATACACGAGAGTAGCTTATATGGTGTTGTCGATTACCACAACTTGAACATGATTCCTTGAAATGCATGTAAAAGAGATTTTAATACAATGATCCACAAATCTAGATTCACTGCCTTTTCTAAATCATATTCAACTGAATTTGTCACGATCCTAAATATTTCAAGGGGTAACACTAGAAAGACATTTACAAATAATACAAGTAGAAAGATATTTACAAATCGTATAAGAAAATATTAATATAAAATCTTAAAGTATTAGCTTTCTTGATCTCTTAATTTTTTTTTCATTTCTACTTAGGATTCTAACTTACTTTTAAACTTCAATAGCTATATGCAAACAAAGAGGAATTAAAAAATTGGGATAAATACTAGTGTAGATTATTTCAACCAAGCAAGCATGTATAAAAACTTTTCACTTGGAACATTCATAATCAATTTTTTTACAAAGTCATATAGGATATCTTATTTGTTCTTAACCTTAAAAATAATATTGACTAGGAATGAAGAAAAGTTATGCTCTTCATTTTAAAGGAAATATGCACAATCTAGAATAATAGAAGCCGAGAGGTAGGATAAGTTAAAACGAAAAAAAATAAAAATTTTATAAGTTTCAAATATAATATTGATATTGTTATAAAAGTTCAAGTTGATGATTTAGAACTTTGACATTGAAAGTTTGGATATTTCAACAACTAGGCTTTGTAGCTATTATGTCCTAAGAATATGATGAGTTATCTCACATACTTGAAAGATAATAATGAATCTTTCGGGTGATGTCTTCAAAAATACAATCAATTACCATTTTCAATTGACAAATCATGGAGAACAAATAACTTATTGGAGTTAATCTACATCATGAATCTAGACTATACAATAAATCTTCTTGGGATATAGTAAACAATCAAAACGTTATATAGATATTACAACTTGCAAACAAAGAAGTACACTATCAACATGAATGTTGAAGTTGATGAAAGTGCTTTTTGAAATTGGGGAAGAAAGAAAAATCACAAGAAATAACATCTTTGTTCTAATACAACAATCTCAAAAAGAAATTCAAGTAGTAAAAGAACAAAATACGCTTCCTTCACTTGCATAATAATAAAATTTTCCACTAGAGTCTACTCCAAAATGGGTAAGATCCTTAATGAATATATACGAAACATTCACATGAAAATCCTTGAACTTAACTACTATGAAGAAAAAATTAAAATGATTAAAAAGAAAAATAATTATGAATTAATAATAGATTTCTCATATAAAACGACATCATTTAAGTTAAATGGGTTTATAATACAAAGTTCAATGCTAATGACACCATACAAAAGCATAATGCTAGGTTGGTGGCAAAGAATTACACACAACAATCCAAAATTTACTAAAGACATATTTACCAAAATACTACCAAAAGTCAAGTTTGAGTAGTTATTATTAGAATTTAAGTGTGAGTTAAAGTCTCACATTAGGTAAAATGACGAAGTTAAATAACATATAAGTGGGAAAGATTAAAAAATCTAATAATTTAAGGTTTTCGATTAAAGGTGAAATTATATTCTCTTATGTGGTTACTTTTTGTCCCTTGATTAAACCCAACAACAATGTTAACCCCCTCATAAAATCCTAATAGTAGTAATAATGACCAATTTTACAACAGAAGTTGAGGAGGACATGATAATAACAAATCTAAGGTAGAATGCTTTAGATGTCAAAAATATGGTTACTATGCTTCTGAATGTTATACTAGACTGCCTAATGATAAAGAAAAAAAGGGAAAACTTACATTTTGTAAAAAAAGTTAAAGAAGAAGAAACTTTGTTGATAACTATCCATGAAGAAAACAAAATGGACTTAAAAATTTGGTATGTGGATATACGGTGTAGAAATCACATGAGTGGGTGTAAGTCTTCTTTCTCTTATTTAAATGAGGATTTTCATACAACTGTTAGTTTTGAAGATATTTTTCTGTAGAAGTGAGGGGGTAAAGGTGATATTAAAATGAAAACTAAGAATGGTTTTGTGTAAACAATATCTAATGTAATATACATCCTTGATTTGAAAAGTAACCTTATGAGTGTTGGTAATTCACAAGAAAAAAGGTTATATCATTACTAATAAAAAAGATTGATGTGGACATAAAGGCTCAAGCCCATAACGAGAAGGATCAAAACCAAGATCCAATCCAAGACTTAGGTGGACCTATGACAAGAGACAGACTCAGAAAAACACAAGAGGCATTGCAATACAAAGTGATCCAGAAGCATATTTGAAGTGGGAAATAAAAATTGAGCAACTATTTGCATGCCATAATTATACAGAAGATAAAAAGATGAGGGTGGCAGCCATGAAATTCACTGATTATGCTCTCATTTGGTGGAACCAATTACAAAGGGAAAGGGTGAGATATGAAGAACCCTTGGTGGAAAGTTGGGAAGAAATGAAGAGGTTGATGAGAAGAAGATTTTTTCCTTCTCATTATCAAAGAGATCTTCACAACAAACTCCAAAGACTCATACAAGGTAGTAGAGGTGTTGATGAATATTACAAAGAGATTGAGGTTTCCATGATTAGGGCTAATGTTATGGAGGCGCGAGAGGCTACTATGGCCCGATTCCTACATGGGTTAAATAGTGATATAAGGGATGTTGTGGAGCTGCAAAATTATGTTGAGTTGGAGGATTTAGTACATCAAGCTTCTAAGGTGGAACAACAATTGAAGAGAAAGGGTGTCATGAGGAGGAGTTCATCTAATTTTCACTCTCCTAGTTGGAAGGACAAAAATAAGAAGGAGGGAGGATCATCAACAAGCAATTCCAATGTTATAGCTCATAGAAATCAAAATAAGTCTGATGAGGAACTTAAGAAAACAAGGAGTAGTGAGGTTAAGTGCTTCAAATGTTTGGGAAGAGGTCACATAGCTTCTCAATGTCCCACCAAGAAGACTATGTTACTTAAGGAGGATGGAAAAATAATTAGTGAATCTTCTTCAGATTCTTCATCTAGTGATGAAAATGAGCATGAAGATGAAAGAGAGTTAGAAGGAGATTTGTTCATAATTAGAAGGATGTTGGGTAGTCAATCAGTTGAATTGAATGATTGTCAAAGAGAAAATATTTTTCATGCAAGGTGCCTCATTCAAGGGAAGTTGTGCTCTTTGATCATTGATGGGTGGGAGTTGCACTAATGTGGCTAGTGCACGGTTGGTTTCAAAAATGAATTTGGAGACTAAGCCACACCCGCGACCTTACAAACTTCAATGGCTTAGTGAAGATGGTAAGATGACCGTGAATAGACAAGTTGAAGTGGGTTTTTCAATAGGGAAATATGAAGATTCTATTTTGTGTGATGTGGTGCCTATGGAGGCTTGTCATTTACTTCTTGGGAGACCATGGCAGTATGATAGGAGAGTTATGCATGATTGTTTCACTAATAAGTTCTCTTTTATGTATAAAGACCGCAAAACTACTCTTGCACCTTTGGTTCCAAGAGAAGTTAGTGAGGATCAACTGAAAATGAGAAAGAAAAGAAAAGAAGAAAGAAAAGAAAAAGAGAGAGAAAAGAAAAAGAGAGTGAAAAGAAAAAGGAAAAAGAGGAAGAAAAAGAGAAAGAGAGGGAAAAAATCAAATCTGTTTATAAAAGAAAAAGAAGTCAAAAGAGCTATGCAATTGAGAAAGCCAATACTTTTACTTTTGAGTAAAGAAAGTAAATCAAACAGGCCATGTTTTACTAACTCTCTTCCAAAAGATGTTTCTTCTTTGTTGCAGGATTTTGAAGATGTTTTTCCCAAAGAAGTGCTTATAGGTCTACCCCCTCTTAGGGGTATTGAGCATCAAATTGACTTTATTCCAGGAGCTTCATTGCCTAATAGACCAGCCTATCGAAGCAATCCCCAAGAAACCAAGGAGATTCAAAAGCAAGTTGAAGACTTAATGCAAAAGGGGTGGGTTAAAGAAAGCTTGAGTCCATGTGCAGTCCTAGTCATTCTAGTCCCTAAGAAAGATGGAACTTGGAGGATGTGCACATATTGTAGAGCTATCAATAACATCACGGTAAAGTATAGACATCCCATTCCTAGGTTAGATGACTTGTTGGATGAATTGTATGATGCTTGTATCTTCTGTAAAATTGACTTGAAAAGTGGATATCATCAAATTAGAATTAGAGAAGGAACGTACGTAATATTCAGAATCACTTTGTGAGTTGTTGCTCTGCTAGGATTCTTCCTTGCATCACTTGATCTTATCAAGAATTATTCGATTCTTGTGGCGATCCTTCTTGGCTTATCAAATATTCTTATTTGTGGCGCCTACGGTATCCTTTATTTTTTCTGTTTTCTATTTCCAATCAAATCAACTCTTAAAACCTAATCCTAAATTGTTT